AGAGGGAGGAGGAGCGACTACCAATGGGCATGGGTTTTTCTTGGGGGGTGTGGGGTAAATGAAAATGTTCTAAAATTGATTGTAGTGTTGGCTGCACAACTTAAAACACATTGAACTGTACACTATAAATAGGTGAATTGCACGGTATATAAATTATATCCCAATAAAGGTATTTTTTTTTTAAAGATAATTGACTGTTTAAAGCAAAAATAATGACAATGTATAGTTGGGTTTATATCAAAAGTAAAAGCAAAATGCGTGACAACAGCTAAAAGACAAGAAGGGGGAATGGAAGTACACTGTTGTAAGTTTCTTATGATATTCATAAAGTGGTATAATGTTTTAAGGTAGACTGTGGTAAGTTTAAGATGTACATTGTAAACCCCAGAGTAACCACTAAGAAAAACAAACAAAAACATTTAAAAAAATAAGCTAAGAATAGAAATAAAGTAGAATCATAAAAGACATGCAAGCTAATAACTGATAAGCTAAGAAGAGAGATAAAACAGAATCATAAAAGACACCCACTCTCAAAGAAAGTAGGAAAAGAAGAAAAAGAAAACAAAGAACAAGTGGGACAAATAGAATACTAATAGCAAGATGGTAGATTTTAAATCAACCATATTGATGATAACGTTAAATGTAAATGGTCTAAACATTCCAATTAAAAAGCCAAACTTGTCAGACTGCATAAAAATGACAACGAGGGACTTCCCTGGTGGCACAGTGGTCAGGAATCCGCCTGCCCCACATGCCTCGGAGCAACTAAGCCCGTGCGCCACAACTACTGAGCCTGTGCTCTGGAGCCTGTGAGCCACAACTACTGAGCCCGCTCACCTAGAGCCTATACTCTGCAACAAGAGAAGCCACTGCAATGAGAAGTCCACGCACCACAACGAAGAGTAGCCCCCGCTCGCCGCAACTAGAGAAAGCCGGCGCGCAGCAATGAAGACCCAACTCAGCCCAAAATAAATAAATAAATAAATAAATAATTTTAAATGACGATACAATTTCCAAAAGAAACCCACTCTAAAGTCAGAGGGACTTCCCTGGTGGCACAGTGGTTAAGAATCCGCCTGCCAATGCAGGGGACACAGGTTTGAGCCCTGTCCAGGAAGATCCCACATGCCATGGAGCAACCAAACCTGTGTGCCACAACTACTGAGCCTGTGCTCGAGAGCCCATGAGCCACAACTGCTGAGCCCATGCACCTGGAGCCTGTGCTCTGCAACAAGAGAGGCCACCACAATGAGAAGCCCGCGCACCGCAACGAAGAGTAGCCCCCGCTCGCCGCAACTAGAGAAAGCCTTTCGCCACAACTAGAGAAAGCCCATCACAGCAAGGAAGACCCAGCGCGGCCTAAGATGAATGAATAAATTAATTAATTAAAAAAAAAATAAAGCCAGAGAGGTTAAAAGTAAAAGGATAGAAAAAGATACGCCATGCAAACACTAATCGACAGAAAGCTGGAGTGATTATATTATTATCAGACCAATTGGACTTCAGAACAAGAAATGTTACCATAGATAAAGAAGGACATTTCTTGTTGATGAAGGGGTTAAGTTCTTGAGAGGACATAACAATCTTAAATGTTTCTGTACCTATGAACAGAACTTCAATACACATGAGGAAAATCTGATAGAACTAAGAAGAAAAAGTAAAAGTAAGGAGAAGGGTCTATGGAACATCTCTAGTCATCAGTTAAGAGATGGAAATTAAAGCCATGGTAATCCATGAGACCACCAGAAACAAGTTTAAGGGAGAAAAGAGACCAGGACAGAATCCTGGGCCATATCAGCACTTCCAGGGTGAACAGAGGAAGAAAATCTCATGAAGAAAACTGAGAAATAATTATCAGGATGGCAGGTGGTAAAGGAGAGTGAGGGGTCACGGAATGCAAGGAAGAGGGCTTCGAAAGGCAGAGTGCACTCAGTTGCATCAAATGCTGCTGAGAGGTCAACTGGGAACTGAAAGGCTTCAGCTGGATTTACAGTAAGACTCACTGGAGACACAGGATGAGAAGCTCGGGTGGTAAAGTGGGGGCAGCAGCCAGGTCGTTGTGGATTAAAGACTCAGCAGGAGGTGAGGAAATGGAGATAATAAACACTGGCTTTGATTTTAACAGGCTTGGCTGAGAACGGCAGGAGAGAGAGGAGGTTGTAAAGTCAAGGTGTTTTTGTTTTATTTCGTAACTGGCTTACAAATGAAGGAGCCAGGAGAGGGGAGCCGATGAAGATGAAGAGGGGAGAAACAACAGAGGGGGGATCTCGGGTGGAGGGGCAGAGGGGAGGGTCCCCAGATCTCTGGTAGAGAGGTTAGCTGGAAGAGGAACACCTATCTCTCAGTATGATGGGGGCCAGAAGCACGGATGGGCATGGATGCAGCCCAGGGCAGAGGTTAAAGAAATTTCCTCTTGGCAAATTTTCTTTACTTTATAAAGAGAGAGCCTAGGTAGACTGCTGGGAATGAGTAGGGAAACTGTGTAATAGAAAAGCAGAGGGATTGGGACTTCCCTGGTGGCGCAGTGGTTAAGACTCCACGCTCCCAATGCACGGGGCCTGGGTCTGATCCCTGGCCAGGGAACTAGATCCCACATGCGTGCCTCAACTAAGAGTTCGCATGCCGCAACTAAGGAGCCCTCCTGACGCAATTAAGACCCGGAGCAACCCAATAAATAAATAAATATTTTTTTAAAAAAGAAAGAAAAGTAGAGGGATTATGTGAGAGCTTTGAAAAAGCTGAAGCGGAACTGGAGTGGGCCTAGGCAGCAGGACTGCTGGGCCATACCGGGGTCTCAGCTGAGGCTGTGGACCATGAACCTGGACTAGTGTCAATTCGTGAAGGGATTCCCATCCCCCACCCTCCTCCCCATCCCTGTAAGTAAGGACTAGAGAAGGCAGGCAGTTACCATGTTCTAGGGGTGGCGTGGGAGACTAAGGGGGCCAGGTGGTGACTGGTGAACAGTTGAAGTAACAGGTCATGGGGTCCAGACTGCATAGGATCAAGGGTTGATTCAGGGCGAGGAGAAAAACTAGGAGGCAGGAGCCTGAAGGTCTCTATGAACAGACATAGTGGAGTGGAGGGAAACAGAATGCACAGGAGGTACAGAGAGATTAAGACTTCAGAGGTGGAACAGTTTCAAACGATGACAAGATCCCAGTAATGGGTGACTGAAGTAAAGGTGACGTTCAGTGAGCTGATGACAACAAAAATCTCAGAGGCCAGGGTACAGAGGAACTGTCCTCATGGACATGGAAGCTGCCAGTACGATGGGTAGAGCCTACAATAAAAACACTGTGACAAGATTCTTTTACTCTGGCTATGTCCTTCCATGGCTGGACCATGTAACTTTGCCATCAATTATGACTGTTCCCAGCTTACAGAGATATGTCCCTAGAACTCAGCCTTAACCCTGAGGCTGCCTGGCCCCTCAACTCCCTTGTCCCTCTACTCACAGCCCTGCGAGCCCATACAGGACTGGCTACCATGAGTAAAATGTCACGCTTGTTGGCACCATCTTGAATTATGCAGTTTTAAAGGGATACTGGCAGAGCTTTCAACATGGAAGAGCCAGAGTGGTGTGGGGGACCCTGGGTAAAGTAGAGAGGCACCAAATCCCGGAAAGAGTCATCCCAGAAAGCTGGTATAGCCAGGTGTCTCTGCCAGCCAGGCATCAGCTGTGGGTATATAGCCCACAGCATGCTCAGGGCCTCCATTCACAGGCGGCAGGGTCAAAACCAGAGGACTGTGCACACCCAGTAGGCCCCTTGACTCCCACACAGTGAGGCTGGCTCCCAGGCCTGTAGTGCATAGAGCCATGAGCAGGGGGTCTGGGTTCTGGTCCTGACTCTGCTGTGAACTTGCAGTGTGACCCTGCCCTGACGCCTCAGTTTTGCCTGCTAATCAAAGGGTTAGATGCATCTTAGAGATTCTCTCGGCCTTGACAGCGTATGGGTGGCGGGTGCCATCAGCTCACATCACTTAAAATGCACCAGCTGCAGAGGACAAATGAGCTGAAGTCTTCAAGCCTCATTAGAGTCATACAGCAGAGTCCGCCCCCTGGGGTTCAATCCTTACACCCCTCCCCCTCCCCCTTCTTCCCAAGAGCCTCTGAAGTAGGCTCAAGGGATAGGCCACCTCCCCACCCCCACTCCCCATCTTTCTCTGCATGAACTTTTCTTTAGGCTAAAAAGTCAACCTGGTTTGAGGCTGTAGAAAAGGAGAACACAGGGCCATACTGAGACCCACGGTTCTCCACAGAGCCCCCCTTTTAGGACACTTCATCAGAGACCTCAGCAGAAACCCAGGACCAACATCTGTGAGGGCGCAAACCAGAGCCCCGATGCCCCCCTGTGTCTTCCGCCTGGTCCCTGAAAGGGCAGGCAGATTCCGCAGGTACTGGGAGCCCTCAGCCCACACTGCACCTGGGAAGGGGGTCCGACATCTTGCCTCATCTATAAGGCAAGCCCCCTCCTTCAGAGGGCAGCTCTTCCTGCCCATCCTCTGGGCCAAGAAATATATCCTAGGGACCCTGCCATCAATAAAGCACAAATGAGGCTCCGGTCAGGAGTCCTAGAAAAGCCCCATCTCCTGACTGCAGAAGCAGGCCTTGGGGATGCCAGCCTAGGGCAGGGAGAATGTGGGTCTGGGGATCTGAATACTCTTAGTGGTCCTGGGGATGCCTGGCTGAGGGTCCCAGGACAGGCTGGGCAGCAGAACTCTGGGCCCTCTCAGCAGCCTCACCTGGCTGGAGTTGGGCAAAAGGACCACAGAACGGTCCAGGAGCAACAAACCCAGGCCACCAGCCACAACAGCCACAGTGAAGGAAGACTTCACTTAGGGGTCACACACTCCAGCGGACCCCACTTCCCATGCACACGGCTGAGCGCAAACCGCGTCCACTGCTGCCGAGCCGCCCTCTCCTGCCCACGCCCTCCCCACACAGGCTCCTGTGGGCAGCCCTTCCCCGGGCAGCACACCCTCCTCCCCTGTCAGCTCACCGAGCGATCTCCCTTCCTTCCTTCCAGTACGTCCTCCTGGTTGTTCTCCTGAGGACAAAAAGCAGGGGTGACTCCACGGCCTTGGGCCTCACCTCGTCATTCCTGCCCCTTGCCTGGCCGGACCGTGCCGCTCAAGGCCTCCTCCAGGGCCTCGGTCCCAGCCACTTCCAGTGGGAGTTAAGTGGGATCAGGTGGAGGGACTTCCCGCAGGTGCTGGCTCTGTGGGGCGCAGGACAGCAGGCAGGCAGCTCAGAATGAGGGCAGTAACGGCTGAAGCCAGAGGAGCAGAGCACAGGGGCGGGGTGGAGGCTGCAGGAGGAGCCCACCAGCAGAGGCAGAGGGCAGAAGCCGCCAGGGGCAGAGGCCTCGCTCCTGTGATGGGAGGGTTCCCCCAAGATCCCGGGCAGGCAGGGGAGCAAAAGTCCCCTGTTCACCTGTCTAGAGCCTGAGGCTTTGGGAGGGATAAGCAGTGGGACCCCATGTGGTAGGGGAAGGGAGGGCCTTGGGACTGCAGAGGGGGGAAGTCATGGGGAATGCAGTGGACACAGGGTGGGGTCCATGGGCTAAAGGTGGGGGTGTTGAGTGCTTACCGATCTCTTCGGTGGCCCCGTTTCAGGGGCCCAGGTTTCCTGTGTTGCTTTGAATGCTGAGATCCCATGGGCCGGGGAGTGCCTCCTGGGAACAAAATCCCTGTCTTGGCAAAAGGGTGCAAACCCAAAAAGAAAGCAAAGGGGTCCTGGGCCCCATGGCAGCCAGAGGATGGGGTGAATTTGGAGGCTGGTCCTGTTCAGGCTGCACACAAAGACCTGGAGCCCGTTGCAATGCCTCGTCTCACCAGCTCAGTACTGAAGCTAGCACAAGCCACCTGGGTGTCTTCCTCCATCTCCGTGGCAACAGTCAGACTAAACACCACCATCACTGATCCATTAGGACATGGAAACCCTCTCTGCCAGTCACAGTCTCACTCCCAAACCCTTCAGGACAGAGTGAATCTCCAACTCCTCAGTGGCCATGCCACTCAGGGACACCCAAGTGCTCGTTTCCATGGCAACACAGAGACCGAGTATCCCTGCATCTGTGGTTACTATGACAACCCTGGCAGAGGCAGGTACATTGAGGACAAAGGCCTCATCTGGAAGAATCACAGCCAGACACATTCACTGATGCCCTCTCTGTGACCAGCCCTGGGCTAGGGGCCAGTGGCAGGTTCTGTGCTGGGGGACACACACACTGTGCCTCTGAGGAACTGACGGGGGATCTAGGAGTTCCTTGTCTGCGTCCTCAGCCTCTTGTCCTCTCACTCAACCTCAAGTGTACGGAGTGATCCTATCCCCTCACAGGGCTTCAACTCCCACAGCCTTTACATAGAGCACATCCATGCTTGTATCATGGGCTCACTCCCCTCCTAAACTCTAGACCCCCTTCCATCTGCTTGCTCTCTGGACACATCCCTCTGGATGTCCTGCAAAACCTCACACTGAGGTACACAGCTTGGGACTTTCTGTGACTCTGAGCATTTGTTCTATATATCCTGTCTCTGAGAGTGACACATACAGCCCCCCAGGTGCCATCATTGCTCCCTCTTTTCCCTGTCCACCTTCCTCAGCCAATGCAGACAACCATCAAGCCGTTCTGAGGTTATCTACCAAGCATCCCTTAGCTCCCCCCGCCCCCTTCCCTGGACCCCTATCCTCTGTGGGGCCTCCTCGTCTGTTGCCCAGAGTTCGGCATCAGGATGGTGTCTGCTTAGAACTCGCCTCTCTCAAATCCATCCATCCTCCAACGGGCACCAGAGTAAGCATTCTAAGTGCAAATCTGATCACGCCTCCCGACCCTGCTTAAACCCTTCAGAAGCTCCCCGCTGCCTCAGGGCAGAATCTAAGCTGCTTTTCCTCTGCCGAGTCCTGCCAGCCCTCCACTCCCAGGTCTCAGTCTGGCTCCTGCTCAAGTCACCTTCTGCCTCTCTCTTTCCTCCGTCCAGCCCTGCTTGCTCCCTTTCTTACCCATCCTCAGCCATGCTCTCGTAAAAATTATACTCAGATTTTCAGTGAGAGCTTAGAATAATAATTAGGAATCTTTGGGATTCAGTTTCAAATTTCTGAGCGGAAAATGATGCCTAGTTACAAAACCAGACAATGCTGACCCCACCCTGACGGCACCCCGGAGCCCTTGGCCTCTAAGTCTGCCAAACAGACGGAGAAGGATTTGTGGGGAGACTGTAAGTGGCCGGATAGGAGAGTGCAAAGGTGAGCCCATTCTGTCAACTCTCGCAGCCTCTAGAGAACGGAACACAAATTGTCAGCTGAGAGGGCATCTCAGCCCCTGCCCTTTGCATCACCGATGGCTCAGAAGGCGGAGGGGTCAGAGCCAAGTTCCCCAGCTCTCAGTCTGCTGTTCTTTCCACTTTGCAACATGCCTCAAAGCTCCAAAGTCAGTGCAGGGAAGACAGCACAGAGTGTAGTGAGCAGACATGCTGCACGCGGCGGCTTCCACGTGGGTGAGTACACGTGTGTGGCCCACCTGAAACCGGAAATCACATCCCTCCACATCTCATGAACTTCTTTCAGATGCCTTCTGTCCTGCTTCAGGCAGAATGGAACTTTGCAGCCAGAGTCAAAGGGCATCTCAAAGCTGATGCTCAGGCGGGCACCTTCTCAAGCACAGCATCCCCCCGGTCCCCTTCCTGCCCAGGCTCTCAGGTTTATATATTGGTCCATAGGAATGTGGACCAGGAAGAAATGCATCAACTGTAGATGAAGCCAGCTTCCTGCAAGGAAGCCCATCCTCACCTTGAGGCTGGCGGTGGCGCCCACCTGCATGACACCCTGGGGGAGGACTGGAAAAGGACGGACAAAAGGAGTCACAGAACCTGGGGGCTGGATTTCTGACCTCTTTTACATACATTATCTCTTTTAATGGTGAGCACAACCCTCAAAGGAGGGAGGTGTTATTGATTACTTCCCAGAAGAGGAAACTGAGGCTCAGAGGGGTGTGACTTGCCCAGTAAGTGGCAGAGCAGGCACTGGGCGACCTTCTGCCAGGCTGGGTGACTGGAGAGCGTGCAGCTCAGCAGGGCTGTGGAGCCTCAGCAGGGACGTGCTGCAGCAGAACAGCAAGGGTGGAAGTGCTCCCCACGCATTTCATCTGAGACCCTCAGATTTCCCACTGGGACAGCACTGGGACACTGAGTGGCTGAGTGACCTAGGCCTGGACATGACAGTGCCTCAAGTCCAGAAATAATTTGGTGTCCTGGACACCCCTTCAACACGGATCTTTCTGCAACGTTTGTTTAACCCTTAGACAAGCTAAGCACAGCTGGAGGGCGGGGCTGGTGGGGACAAGTGTCCCTCGGCTTAGAGGCCCTGCTCAGCGAAACAAAAGCCCTTCAGTGAATTAGATCTACCCCCTGCGGAAGGCTGGTTAGTCAGCATCCATGCTTCCCTGTCACAAACAAGTCATCACAGTATTCCTTTAGCCACATGCCGTTCTCAACCTACCGCCGACCCGGAAGGATTCAGGTAACTGTAATTCTCCCCATCTCCACGCATGTCCAGCAATGTTTCAGCTTCTTCTGAGCCTGGTGCATCAGGGACGCTGTCAGACATGCCTGCACTTATCCAGTCCTGGCTGGACGTGATTACAGGAGTGGGGCAAGACCGGCGTGTTCCGTCCTCCAGGTACCACAGCAGTTACCATGGCAACCTGCAGGCCCTCTTGAAGATGCCTGAAGGCTGAAGCAGGGTCCAGAGGGATGGAGTGGAGGATGGGCACCGGGAAGGACTGCCCATGGTGGGGACCCCAGCTCAGAGATAAGCTGAATTCCCCGCACCTGAAGCAGTGGACAGTGAGAACTGAGGGAGCAGGGAAGGAGGGCCCAACAGGAAGTGGGGGAGCAGAGCCAGGATGGGGGTGAGCTGAAGGAGGCACTCGCCTGGGCGCAAAATTTACGCAAGTACCAAAACAACCGTGATCAAGATAAATCATATTTAAGTCAAAATGAATGCAAAAATATCCTCGATAAAATATCAAAATTGTAAACAAAGACAGGGTCCTAGAAAGCTGGAATTACAGTGAGGCAAGTGAAGCCAAGTCCTGCTATCCAGGGTTGAATCCTGTCTTTACTAAAATTTTGATTTTGTTCATTATGGATGGGTTTTTTTGCATTCTTTTTGGTTTTTAAAAATTATTGCATTAAAATATCATTTATCTGGTCACTAAGCTTTTTGGCGGTCCTTTAAATTTTGTACCTGAGGTAAAGGCCTCACTTGCTTCACCCTAGTCTCGGGCCTGGAGGGGAGGACTGACTGAGTCAGGGCAGGAGGCACCCTGATGCAGTTGAAAAGGCCATTGTGTGACAAGTCACCAGGAGACACGGGTTCACTAAACTGCGGGGATTCCTCTCAGTTCTGATAGAACCAGATTCAGCTTTTACAAGAATCTGCAGCCTGAAGGTTGCTGCTGGGGATCGCAGGTGCCTGGCACGCACATGGGTCTCCTACATTCGGGCGGGGGGACGGTGACTCAGGAGGTGGCTCCCATCTCTTGCCCTCCCTCAGGCTGGCTGCTAAGGGGAAAGGAGGGCAGAAGAAGGGGAGAGGGGAACGGAGGGGGCGGCAGGGAAGAGGCTGGTAGTTTTGCGCGGCTGGGAGCAGGAACGGCAGATTAGCTGTAATTGCCTGAAGCTGAGAGGCTGTTGATAAATGTTACTAATAATCAACCTTCAGATCTGACACCAGCTCAGACTGGGATTACTGTTTTGAATGGAAATTGAACCCAAACCAGTAATTACCCTGGTGAGTGATGCCAGTCTCACTCTGGAGACTGTTCTAAGCAGGGAAATGGCACCTGCACGTCAGTGTCAGCCCTTCAGGTAGAATATTCTGCAAGGGGCCCTTTCCCAAGAGCACAAGCTGGCCTGGCCTCCACTGACGCAATGGGACAGAATCAACAGAAATATCCACCCTTCCTCCAAGAAACACCCACTCGTCATCCACTGCTTCTAAGCAGAATCCAGACCTCAGACCTCCCTGGCACTGTCCTCCCCCTTGGGCTGGGTGGAGGTCCCCGCGGACATCTTCCCTAGCTGTCAGAAGGAATTGCTTGGTGGATGGCAGTCCTCCCCAACACTGATGCAGCTCTCTAGGCCTCTGTCTGGGACCCCTGGGTGGCCACACAGTTGTTCCCTGTTAGACTGGGTGTGACTCTTGGAATGGGCTGAGCTGGGGCCAAGTGAGAGGGGCAAGGCCATCACAGGTGCTAGAGCCCACCACAGCCTGTCTCCATCCCTGATGAGCGTGTGCTTGCTCCAAGTGCCAGGCAAGAGCCAGGTATGCCTGGAAGCTCTCCCTGGAAACAAGCAGCTCTCCGGCCCTAGCCTGTATCTCCTTAGCACCCCTCATCCCATCTAGAGGACACCTAGAATGCTGGCACCAGCCGGAACAGGACAGAGGGAGAAAGACTCCCCTGATCCTGAACCAGCTTGCCTCCCAGGGTGCACTCGGCCCGGCTCCTTCCCCCTGCCCCAGCTTCTCAGCAGGGTAGCCGGATACTAACGAAGCCCTAGACACACCAGAGTGATAAAGAGTGACAGCAAGTCTCCCTCCTGTTTGCACATCATACACCACCAAACACCTTCCGCCCCCTCCGCTGTGCCAGGCCCCGTGGCCCAGAGAATAAAACAACTGCCCTCAAGTTGCCCTGCCAGAGAGGAGAATAAGGCAGGTGATGACAGATCATCACAACTGCAGGTTGTCCCAGATGGTCCCTCCCCATGACCCAAGTAAAATGCCCTGAACTACAGTCTGGAGGTGTCGATGAGCTGCCTCAGGGGGCAGACGGAGCTGGTCAGGCCTAGTGGGATTCAGAGTGTGTGTGACCACAGCCTTTCAGGTTGGAACTGGACCTTGAACAGGGGGCAAGCGGCAGAACACACAGGGCCCTCCCCAGAGGGAGCCGACACCTCAAGGGTGCCACCTAGTGGCAGCGCGGCAGGGA